CCAGCTCTGCCAGCAATGCTCATGGTCCCACAGCTGATGTCATCCCCATCAGCATCTCAAATATATCTTTGTGTGGGGTATCACAAGCCTGTTGTCGGGCCACCCCCGCTAAGTCCCCTCCCAATCCGGATGCAGCCTTGAGTACCCGCCGAGCCTCTGTCATATTTAGGCTCTGATCCAGGCACAAAGTCACTAGATCTCGGGACCATCCACTGAACCCAGAACGAGAGGGTCCTCCTAAGGTTTTGGCCAACTCCACCGCCTGTGCAGGGGTCAACTCAGTCTCTGCCACTGTATGCCCAATATTCAGGGCCTCTCCTCCCCCTTGGGGCGTGGGCCCATAAGTCCGGACCACCCTCCGGATCGCTGCAACCTGATGTCTGAGATCTGGCCCTCCAGGGTCTGGATCTGGGTGATCCAGGTCACCCCAAGTATCCCCATCCCAATCTTCACCCCAGTCTAGGGATTGATCATTTCTCTTAGGAAGCCCTAAAGCTGCTACTCTTCCCTTAGAAAGCAGCCTTCCCTCTGGCCTACTCTCTCCCAAAACTAACTCCTTGAGACACTGCACCCTTTCACTTAAAGTTCTATTCTCCTCCTGGACATGCTCCCGTTCTTCTTCTGCAGCTGCCACTTGTATGGCAGCAACAGAAAGAGAAGAGGCTTGGGCGCTGGCTGTAAGCACCTGAGCTTTCCACATATCTCGTTCTTTCTCCAGTTCCTTCTTCTGTTCCTTCAACTGCTCCACATCCTGTGCTAGCTGACTCTTAGCTGCCTGCCACTGATGTACTGCCTGCCATAGCAGCCAAGCAGCTGCTCTCTCCTTACCTCCCTTGTCTGGCTTATACAACAACACATATTTTTCCATCATTAGTTCCAAATCAGTCACTGAAGCACCAGAGAGCACCGCCCCTTGAGTCCAGGGGTCAGCCCCTTTACTTTGGATCCATTCCCTCAGGGGTCCGGGCGTAGGTGCTGCACTCCACCCTTCTCCTCCCTTCTGGGAGTCCTTTACACCTCCCTTTCCTTTACCCCAAATGGGCATCTTGTTGTCGGGAACCTGGACTGTGTGCCGTGGGTTGCTAGCCTACCACGTTTCAACGCACCCCAGTCCCCCAAAGTTCACTGTCTCAACTTCCCGTGGGGAAAGGACTTTTACTTATCCCCTCCTCCCCGGCATCTCCACCAAAAATGTTGCAAGGGGATGTGGATTGCAACTGCTTTAAACACTAAGGAGAGGGGATCACCACATGGGAGTGTAAAGGATTTTTTATTCAATTAAAACTGGGAAGGGAGGGGAATCTCATTCATACACTCAATCACACTTACAGTCCCAGGCAGGATGATAAGGCGAGCAGAAGGCAGTTCATATTCTTTGATCTTCCCAAGTTGACTCCTAAGCTGGTCCGCTGGCCAGGCGATCCGAGCAAAGGGCGTTCTGGGAGGCTCCACTTGATGGTCCACCACCACTGTGTCTCTGTCCCTCTCTGTCCCTCTCTCCTTCAAGGATCAGCCACATGCAGCCTCTGAGTCTAGGCCTCTTGGGACCGTGTGCACTCTCTGCTGGGGGCCGTATGCACACCCTGCTGGGGGCCGTATGCACACTCTGCTGGGGGCCGTGTGCATTGTTGTTTACCTCAGACATTCTTCTGCACTCACTCAGGGAAGGGGTAGGGGGTTAACAGACAACACTCCAACAGTTTAAGGAACCAAATCACATTAACAGGTGAGAAAGAACAACCACCATTTTAACTGTCCCCTTACTTCTCCTTTGCCTCCAACAATATCAGGTATTGGCTGCTCTGTTGATTGAATAGTGATTATTTGCTGATTAAGTTTCCGCAGTTAACAACCTGAAATTTGGTAAATGCTTGTCCCAAGATCAGGCCCAGTGTCATCAAAATTACTGGTTAATTGGGAGCCCTGATGAACATGGCTGCAACATTTCCACTCAGGAAATCACACTATCTATTATAGTTTTATTAACACAACTGGCCAATTCACAAACATTCCATCCCAGCAATGCAGGTAGAAATAATATAAAATGAGCAGAGCATCCATTTACTTACACCATCCCTGGCAAAACAACCTGAAGTATCAGTTCTCATCCTCTTCATCTTCTCCCTCACCATCATCCTGGCTTCTCTCAAGGGCTACTTCTCTCCCTCCCAATGCACGCAGGCTGGGATACAACTTTTACAATGTATTATGGCAATTCCACTATGCCTTAATACATATTCAGTAGGAGTTTCAGCCTTTCTTCCTTTTTGTAGTTCCTCACTCCACCAATGTTGGGATGCCCTTCTCCTATAGGATATTAACCCTTTTATCTCAAGTTTATTAGTACATACGTCAATTAGTTACCACAAAATTCTTGTGGTCAGACATCTGCTGATGTCCCTCACTAAAAATATACCATGCTGGTATAAACTAGCATCTCGTGGTTATCTACCAGCACTTTGGACATTAAAGCATTCCATCATGTGAGATCTTATGATCTAGTGTTACTCTTGGTTAGCAACTTATGCTAAGGTTTTTTGGGCTTTATGCCTTAATTAGTTTAGCTAAACTTGCTGTTTTACAGGCATTGAGGCGTGTAGGTTCAATGCTTTATTTCCTTAACTTAGCAAATACCTATATTTACAGGCAACAATCTCCAGTGTTGGAATGACTATGCTAAAATGATGAGCTGGCGTTAGTATGGGAGTGATTGTTAATTGATACATTAAGACTCTGAGCACGTCCTGTGTAAACCAAATGATTCCAGAAGCCTGAGCAAACTCAGTCTGAGCTGAGTGCTTATGCAATTATGAAAACTACTCTTCCTGAGATATGTCTACACTTGCAGCCTATTTCGGAATAGGGCTGCAAATGTAGGCATTCGGAATTGCAAATCAAGCCTGGGATTTAAATATCCCGTGCTTGATTTGCATCTTCCCGGCAGGGTGCCACTTTTTTTTTTGAAATTTACAAGCGGTCTCAGGCCAACCCAACACCATGTTCCATTTTCCCTTTGGGAAATATGGTCACCCTAACCGGATGCCAATGGCAGCAACAAGAGTCAGGTTCAATCTCTCTAGAGGTTATTGTACATCAAACCACAACCTTAGCTCTTCCCTTCCCCTGCATATATATCTATACTCTTATTTCAGGAAATTTTTTCCCACGTCTCAAGAGTCTTTTAGTAAAATAAAACCCAAGTACCCTCCAATATATATTTTTGACTATAAGAAACTGAGCAACCCAAATCAATACATCAGGGCTGGGTCTAGACTGGCATGATTTTGCCGAAATACTTTTAATGGAAAAGTATTTCCGCAAAAGAGCGTCTAGATTGGCAAGGTTGCTTTTGCGCAAAAAGTGCTTTTGTGCAAAAGCATCCCTGGCAATCTAGACGCGCTTCTGCGCAAGAAAGCGCCAATGGCCATTTTAGCCATCAGGCTTTCTAGCGCAAAAAATTAAGGTGCCTGTCTACACTGGCCCTCTTGCGCAAGTATTCTTGCGCAAGAGGGCTTATCCCTGAGCGGGAGCGGGAAAGTATTTACGCAAGAAGCACTGATTTTGTACATTACAAAGTCAGTGCTCTTGAGCAAATTCAAGTGGCCAGTGTAGACAGCTGGCAAGTTTTGCGCAAAAGTGGCTGCTTTTGAGCAAAATCTTGCCAGTCTAGACTCACCCCAGGAGTTTGGTCAATGCCCCAAACCCAGTTAATACACCAGTAACTTATGAAGGTGAAAACTCTGTCTCACCACAAATTCCATCCTCCTAGAACTCCACTCACAGTCCAAGTTAATCCCAGTAGTAGTGTATGAAGTCTTGCGGTGGTTCTCTTTCACTGATGTCCTGTTAACTGATTTCAGCCTGGTTTCAAGTGGCTTGTAGGGTGGATCTCTGTGAAGTCAGCTCAGTATCATCACTACCACAGGTCACATTGGGCCTCACTGTGAAGTCAGTTCTGTCCTACCACCACGCACAGCAATTCAGTTGGGCCTCATGGGGCTGTCAACTCCACCTTGTTCCTTGATGGTGCAGCTCCACAGATTCCTCTATAGGAAGGACAGAACTTTTAGGGGGCATCCAAGAGCAAAAGAGAAAGTCAGTTGGATAGTGTTCTTGCCCCAGGGGTTAGAGCTCCTCATGTCAGAACACTGCCCATGCTCCCCATCTCCTTTTTATTTATCACTTGAACACTTTATTAGTGTGTCTGTTTTACAAGAATCCAAGGGTTTTTCCTCCTGTGTGTTTCTCCTTTGCTTCCTCATGGTCCATGATGCCAGTGGAGAGTGCCAGCACTTTGTACCCAAAATGACACGAAGAGTCTTTGTCATGTATAGCTAGGGAGAATTCACACTTGTGAAAAACCCTGCACATACCTGGTGCCCTTTCATAAATACACCAGTGAAACTAATCTATCATCACAGTTACTCATCAAAATTTGTGAATTCCAACTGTAAGCAGGGTCAGGATAAGCTCTACTCTGACATCTGGTGGTGAATTGTGGCGAGTGGCGCAAACAAACTTCAGGGGCTGGTCTCATTTGCATAGGCACACCCACCCCACCTAGTATGTGCTCACAGCAGCCCATATGGTCACTTTGGCCACTGTGGGATCCCCAGTCTCGCTGTTATTGAGACAGAGGGGATAAAGTGTTGTTACCCTGATTATGTGAATCAAGGACAATGGAATAGTGGAACTGTTTATGACAGAGGGATTTGCCATAAACTAAGTAGCACTTGCTAGATAAGGGGCATGGGTTCCAAACCCAGTCAAGTTGAGAGAGGTTGGGGTGTAGGTCTTTGTACCTAGTTGGGGGGGAAGGGAAGGGAAGGGAAGGGAAGGGAAGGGAAGGGAAGGAGGAGCCGCCTGTTTGAGGGTCTAAGTGACACTGAGTGTGCTACTGCTGTCTTTCTCCACTGTAGAATATCAGAGCTAATTAGGATTCTATTAGCACTCTAGTTACAAGCTGCTGAGCTGTGTTCACTGTGGGCCAATGTAACACTAGCAGAGGCTCCTCTATTATGAGCTGAAATCACTGTGTGCTGAGGGGAGCTTGGTGCTATACTGCGGAAGAGCTGAAATCACTGTTGCTGTGGGGAGCCTGATGCTATGCTGCTGGGCTACTAGCAGAGTAGCTTGTGGGGACGACTGGTGGGTGCAGGTGGCCAGCAGAGCGGCTGGTGGGGATGACCGGCGGGCAGTTGGTAGGAGCGGCAGCAGGCAGCCAGTGGAGCAGCTGCAGGAACAACCAGCTGGCATGTACCAAGACAGCTGGTGGAGCAGAGCAGGTCGTGGGACAGTTGGAGTGGCTCACAGGACAGCAGGGCTTTGTCTACACTGGTGTGATCTTGCGCCAGAAATATGCAAATGAGGCTAAGCGTGAATATCGCTGAGCCTCATTTGCATATCTAATGAGCCGCCATTTTGCAGAAAAGGCTCTTGCCCAAGAAGGAGTGTCTACACTGCCTTTTCTTGCGCAAGAAAAACCCTCTTGCGCAATGCCATTATTCCTGAAAGTAATCAGCGTAATGGCATTGCGTAAGAGGGTTTTTCTTGTGCAAGAGCCTCGGCCGCAAAAATGACAGCTCATTAGATATGCAAATGAGGCTTGGCGATATTCCATGCTTAGCCTCATTTGCATATTTCTGGTGCAAGATCGCACCAGTGTAGACCTAGCCCAGGTGGAGTGACTCACGTTAACAGCAGCAGCAGAATCCTATGGAGAGGCGACCATTATTCCTGAAAGTAATCAGCGTAATGGCATTGCGTAAGAGGGTTTTTCTTGTGCAAGAGCCTCGGCCGCAAAAATGACAGCTCATTAGATATGCAAATGAGGCTTGGCGATATTCCATGCTTAGCCTCATTTGCATATTTCTGGTGCAAGATCGCACCAGTGTAGACCTAGCCCAGGTGGAGTGACTCACGTTAACAGCAGCAGCAGAATCCTATGGAGAGGCGAAGCTGTCAGCGGACCACGTAAGGTGTATCAGACCCTGCCCCCGCCATTCCACCCACATTGGGATAGTAAAACCCTGCCGGGTGAACTTTTGAACCCTGGGGTGGCTCTGACCTGGGGCAGAGATTTTTGGGATATCGGACTTTGGGACTTTGGGTGATTCGTGGCTGGGGGGTGGGTCTTTGCTCATGTTTGGTCTATGAATCCAAGTTGTGGTGTTTTCCCAATTTAATGCTGATGTCAGTTACCTCATGTTATTAAAGATTTGCTGCTATACTGAGGTTCTGTTCTTGCGAGAGGGGAAGAATTGCCTCTTTGAGGCACCCAGGGGTGTATGTACGATTTCGCAGGTCACTGGGTGGGCTCGAGCCAGTGTTGTATTACCTTGTTGGGAGGAGACCCCTAGATACTGAACCCATCCCTTACTGCTATTAACTCAGCCTGGCAGAAGGGTTACACAACCAAAACAATTAAAATCAGTAGGCAGAATGATGAAGAAACAACATATCATTCATATAAATGAAGTTGGCTTTTTCCCTTCTTCACAACAGAGAGAGCAGTGAGCTTTAGCCCTCTAGGTCTTTCAGCCCTGGAGCTCATATATCCATGAGTTACTCATCTATATAAGCCTTTTAATCTTTTTGGAGATTAACAACCCACAGGCCTATATTCAGGCTCAATACATTGTATTCAGCATAGAGTATACAAGTGTTGCCTTAGTTAGTGCATGTTCAGGACTTTCCCTTAACCCCTCCTCTGGTTCTAATCACACACATAGAAAGCAGAAGACCAGAAGTCCGAAGTGCAGCAATGTGATGTTTCCACGGTTTAGTTCCAAGTAAGCATGTCCATAGCTCTACACACTGGCAGAGGCTGCTGCCCATTGTTCCATTCCCAGCTCTGATGCTGCAGAGTGTTTACTCCTGTGTTCTCCTTCCCAGCTTTGACACCACAGAGCCCTGCCCATGCCCTCATTCCATTCCTCATTTCCTTCTTCTTAGCAGGCCCAAGTATACCATGTACACCCCTAGTCCCACCCCTTACAACTTATAGACATGCTCTATTCTGCAGGGTCATGAGTCTGGGATCTTCATCCCTCCCCTTATATATCCCATGGATGGGGTAAGGAGAGAGGGTTGTGTTCTAGATCACACCAGGTTTTCTTTGTCTTTTAGTGTTTCTTATGCTTCCCACCATTCCTCTTTGCCCTTCTTGTTGCTTGACCTTGACTTGAGAGAGAAGCCAAGCAGCCTTCTAGTGTATGCTTGTATTATTACATTCCCACCATACTCTGTAACACTTCAACTGTTCTCTTCTGTTCCCATTATACTAACAAACCCTTTGTTCACACATATTAATGCAACATATAAGAGTATCAGGTTGACAAACAATCCTATATACTAACAACTCAGCCTAAACTGTATCTAGCAGAGGTTTCACATCAGTAACTCACCATTGAGCATTGTTTCTTTTGTACTGCAGTGGCAAGGTGTCACATGTGCTGCCGTTCCCTTCCTCTTTTACCTTCTTCAGACATAGGCAAGGTTGTCTGTCTCTTTAGCAGGAGATCTCTTATTATTGTACCTGTTTGAGAAAATAGTGTTGCCCCCATAGTTCCGAGTACTTAGCCAGTCTTTAGGTCTTTGTAGGATTCTTTCCATTATGATGAGACATTGATGATGCAAGCCAGATATATTCTTTGTATAATCTTGTTTACTTACAAAACGTGTTTCCCTGATTACAGCACAAACAAACAATAGCAGGCAGTTTCCTTGTTCAGAACTCCCTAAGACTGCTCCTCCAGCAATCTCTAGAAAGAAAGAAAGAAAGAAAGAAAGAAAGAAAGAAAGAAAGAAAGAAAGAAAGAAAGAAAGAAAGAAAGAAAGAAAGAAAACTTGGTGTGATTACCCATCAACTCTGCTTTCAGGAGGAAACAGGAGTTCTTCCTGCTACTTTAACTCTGTGTCAAGTCTCTCTTCTGCCATCTTCTGTAACTGTGTGGTATATCAGGCAATGTTGTTTCTATTAGACTATAATCCACACTTGAGGGCTACATCTACACTGGCGTGATCTTGCGCAAAAACTCTTTAGCGCAAGAGTTCTTGTGCAAAAGCTCTTCCAGAAGAGAGTGTCTACACTGGCATGTGCTTTTGCGCAAGAGCATCTATGCTAGTGTAGACGCTCTCTTGCGCAAGAAAGCTCTGATGGCCATTTTAACCATAGGTCTTTCTTGCACAAGAAATTCTTGTTGCCTGTCTACACTGGCCTCTTGCGCAAGAGCAGTTGTGCAAAAGGGCTTATTCCTGAGCGGGAGCATCAGAGTTCTCGCACAAGAAGCCATGATTTTATACATTAGAACGTCGTGAAGACGGGCAGCAAGTTTTTGCGCAAGAGCGGCTGCTTTTGCGCAAGATCGCACCAGTGTAGAAACATCCCAGGAGTCCACCAAACTATTGTGCTACACATTATATTGTCACCTCCATCCAGAACGGAAGGAGTCCCTAACATTTAAAATAGAATTCTAGACTGGCATGATTTTGTGCAAATACTTTTAACGGAAAAGTTTTTCCGTTAAAAGTATTTGCGCAAGAGAGCGTCTACACTGGCACAGATGCTTTTGCGCAAAAGCATGTCTTTTCTTGCGCAAGAAATTAACATTGCTGTCTACACTGGCCCTCTTGCGCAAGAGGGTTTATCCCTGAGTGGGAGCATCAGAGTATTTGCGCAAGAAGCACTGATTTTGTACAGTACAAGGTCAATGTTCTTGCGCAAATACTCGTGGCCAGTGTAGACAGGCAGCAAGATTTTGCGCAAAAGCACTTGATTTTGCGCAAAATCTTGTCATTCTAGATGCAGCCATGGTGTACATTTTAAAACTATATAAAAGCAATGTAGGATAAACCTCAATTTGTATTCAAATCTACTTTATGCAATTCCATTTTCTTATACTTAATATTTATTTCATGAAGAGAGAGGCATCTTATCTTCAGATTAAAATCAAAACATATTTCCTCATCCTATCATATCTCCTAAGAATAGCATAAAATTGCATTTTCATTGCTTTAACTCCTTTTGTGTGTGTGTGCTTTAAACCCAATATTATAGTCCATAGTTCTTTTTGTCCTTGGTCTCTTTTTCTTTTCCTTTCAGGCCCCATTCTTTGATGGCCTCATTCATATTCACTGCTTTAATTATTATTTTAGGGTGTGTCTAGACTACAGGGTTTTGTCGACAAAAGTGGACTTTTGTCGACAAAACTATACCTGCGTCTACACTACCGTCATGTTCTGTCGGCACTAAGTCGACAGAACGCGGCAGTTTTGTTGACGGCGGTAAACCTCATTCTACGAGGAATAATGCCTTTTTTTAACAGAGTTCTGTTGAAAAAAGGCGCTATTGCATCCACGCTGTGCTTTTTCAAAAGAGAGCGTCTAGACTCTGTCGAAAAAGCAGCTCGCTTTGTCAACAGAACTGACTGTAGTCTAGATGCTCTTTGTGGACAGAAGCTTTGTCGACAGTATCTGTTGACACAAGCCTGTAGTCTAGACTTACCCTTTATGTGAAAACTGCTAACTGTAATCCTCTTCCCTGACCTCTCCCACTCCATTTGGTCCCATATTTGCATCTACTAAGCAGTGGGGTAGCCAGGGCCATCCTGAGGGGGGCACAGGGCCTGGGGCAACCTCTGCTGTCAGTGCCCCAGGTGCTGAGCCAAGGGCAACCCATCCACCATAGGCCCCTACTCCCGTTCCACCCTTCCGCAAGCCCCACCCTTAATCGGCTTTTGTACAAAGGCATTTCAAAAGCCAACTACAGAGTGTGTGGAATTGGCCTTCATATGCAACTATAACACTGTCTCTCATGGCTTAAACAAAAACCTGAACTGGATGGCCCATTATAAAACCTGCTTTCCTTACATTCAACACCCAATTGACATCAAAAGCTAAGTATGGGACACTTTCAGCCCACTCAATTAGCCTCTTTAGCACCAACCAGCATTACAATAGACAGGTAATTCCCCCTCCCCCCTTCTTATTCTCTTATAAATTGTGAGGGTCCCTCCCCTTTCTCTCCATTCTGCCCATCTGAGGAAGTGGGTTTTGCCCATGAAAGCTCATAATACCATCTGTCTACCCATCTGTGGGTATGTCTACACTACCCCCCTCAGCCTAATCCGAACTAGCTAGTCCGTGCCGCGTGGAGCCGCGCGGCACGGGGTCCGACCTAGCCGGCATTTAAAAATGGCGCCGGCCGGCTTTATGCAAATGAAGCCCAGGAAATTCAAATCCCGGGCTTCATTTGCAACTCCGTATGACTACATTACCCCCCCTAGTTCGAACTAGGGGGGTAGTGTAGACATACCCTGTCTTTGTTAGTCTCTAAGGGCACATCTACACAGCAGCGTTATTGCAGAACAATGGATGTTATTCCAAAATAACTCTGCAAGCATCTATACAGCAAGCCCGCTATTTTGAAATAATATCAAAATAGCGGGGGTCTTATTCCAGAGTCTGTAACCCTCATTCTATGAGGAATAATGCCTAGAATGCGGACCAGGAGCAGGTGTGCATGAAGGTCAAAGAACTGCACCAGGCCTACACAAAGGCCAGGGAGCACAGCTCCTGCTCAGGGACAGCATGCTAGACCTGTCCCTACTATGTGCACTTCCATCGCATCCTGAGAGGGAGGGGCAGTTCCCTCCCCCCTCATTGTGGACTCGGAGATGCCTGTTGTCACCCTCCCAGGGGGCAGAGCCAGTGTGGAGGAGGAGGAGGAGCCAGATGACGCCAGCACCAGCTCTATGCCTGCCAGCCAGGATGTCATGCTCACCCTGCAGCCGGTACCCCCTCCCAGGATGGCTACCAGGTGTAGACCTAGCCCAGGTGGAGTGACTCACGTTAACAGCAGCAGCAGAATCCTATGGAGAGGCGAAGCTGTCAGCGGACCACGTAAGGTGTATCAGACCCTGCCCCCGCCATTCCACCCACAAGGCAGTGGGTGGTGAGGGGCTGCTGTGTTCCCCTCGCTCCGCCGTCTTAGCCTGGGGATCATGCAGCAGTCTGTCCTTGTGGGTGCACGTGGAACACCAGTCCGGGGCACACAGCCCCAGGAGGCAGCAACAGATGGACCCTTGTGCTCTGGTTCACAGGGTGTCTAGAAAGGCCTGTCTTACTCCTGACCAGTGTTCACTCTAAGCTGCATGGCAGCACAGGTTCACAGGTGATTGATCAGCCCCAGCCAGTCAGAGGCACAAGGCTCTGTGCACAGAGCTGACTGACTGGGTGGTGCTGATTAATCACTTCTGAAGCTGTGCTGCCATGCTTAGAGGGAACACTGCTCCGGACACAGGAGTGGGACACCCTCCCACCACAAGCCACCACTCGA